TCGACTGGCTCTACTCTGAGTCCCCCCCGGATGACCGAGCTCCTCACCCTATCTCTAAGGGAGAGCCAGACACACTACGGAGAAAACTAATTTCAGCCGCTTGTATCCGGGATCTCATTCTTTTGGTCATGACCCAAAGCTCATGACCATAGATGAGGGTAGGAACGTAGATCGACTGGTAAATCGAGAGCTTTGCTTTTTGGCTCAGCTCTCTCTTCACCATAACAGACCAGTACAGTGCACGCTACACAGCAGATGCTTCACCAATCCGCATATCAATCTCCCGCTCCTTCTTCCCCTTATTTGTAAAGAAGACCCCAAGATACTTAAACTCCTCCACTAGGGGCAGCACAGCCTCCCCAACCCGGAGGGGGCCCTCTACCCTTTTCAGGCTCAAGACCATGGTCTCGGACTTGGAGGCACTGATCCTCATCCTGGCCGCTTCACACTCAGCTGTGAACCACTAAATTGAGAGCTGTAGATCACGTCCTGATGAAGCCAACAGAACCACATCATCTGCAAATAACAGAGATGCAATCCTAAGGCCACCAAAACAGATCCCTTCAACACCTTGGCTGCGCCTAGAAATTCTGTCCATAAAAGTTATGAACAGAATCGGTGACAAAGGGCAACCTTGGCGGAGTCCAACCCTCATTATTTAATCAATTAATTCCTCTTACCGTGCTGAAGCATACAATGAATTAATTTAATCTTCCATAGAAACCCGGACGTCTGATTGCACAAAAATTACTTTCTGGTTTTCTTTTACTCTAGTGTTAGCCTTTTCATAGAAAAAGTTGTGAATATTTTTCCAAAACGTGTTCCCATTTATTAACAGAAATAAAACATGTTTTCTCTAGGGATTAGACCCACTTGGAGTTGATGCCAATATCCTGTTGCTTTGTGATTTATCTTTGAGTTCTCCCCTGATGTGGTATAATTGTGTTTAAATTCAAAAATTTGGTACCAACCTGTTTGATTTAAACATGCTTTATAAACAAATTAGCTTTACTTTGACATTTATTCTTTATATAAATATGTGTCAAAGCAGAGTTGACAGCAGATTTATTATAAAGTACGCTGGGGATTCTGTTGTTGTCACTCTGCTTCAAGAGAATCAAAGCAGCCATGACTGATTGATGTCTTCATTCATTGGTGTGAGAAGTCTTAACTCGAGCTTAACACTTGAAAAACTTTAAGATATTCTCATTTAAGAACAAAAATTTTTAATCAGAGGTCAGACCATGAAGACTGCAGTCTTATAAATAGATGTTGACTGCCATTGATGATGAATTGAACTGCAATGCCATCTGTTAAGCTGTGTTGTAAAAAGGCTCATCAGCATCTGTTTTTTTCTGTTTTTGTGGCACTGGTGACCTTTATTTGATAGTATACACACAAGAAAATGTCTTGAGAGAGATGGGAAGACATGCAGCAAAGATTCCTGGGTCAAGTTTGAATGGCCATGTCAAATACTCCTTTTGTAGATTGCTCGTTTTCTCCTGTTGTGGAGAAAGAGAGAACATGTAGTTAGTCACAGTAAGAAAAACAGGACTACACTGAAAAACAGGCCAAGCTACAACATCTACTGTATAAAGAAAGGTGTTGATGGCAGAAGTAAATCTGATATTTCTCTCTGGGTTGGAGTCAGAGCCCAACAGGAACAGACCAGATGAAGCTGCTGTGAAGAGAAAAAGATGAGAGAGCATAAAGTTAGAGGTTGAACTAATAAATACTGCAAAATGGGAGAAAAGGGATAGAATGATGCAGAATGATGAAAAGGGGTCCCTATGTCATCCAGCAGTCAAAGCCTATAGTAGCATAACCCAAACCACTCAAACTATAGGCTTTGTCAAAAAGGACAGTTTTTAGGCCTAACCTTAAAAGTAGACAAGTTGTCTGTCTTACAGACTAAAACTGGTAGTTTGTTCTAAAGGAGAGGAGCCTGATAACTAAAAGATCTGCCTCCCATTCTACTTTTAGAAATTCTAGGTACCACTAGTAAACCTGCAGATTGAGAGTGGAGTGCTCTGCTAGGAACATAGGAATATATGAAATCTCTGATACAAGATGGAAAGGATGAAACTACCATCTCTGATGACTTTGAAAATTTGAACATTATATAAGATCAATAAATATGTAGAAATTAGGTGCTGCTAAAAACAAACTCCATGTACTACATAGGAAATTTACTTTAATCAGGGCCTCTTTTTGCATGACTTACTGCCTCAATGTGGCAAGCTTACCAATAATAGCATTTATACTCAGGAACTGTGAGCAGGTGCCTGTTAGATAATAACATTTGCATCTCAAAAAAGCAAAGAAGAGGGCAGAATAACTGTAAAGCTTCTTGCTCTTTGGCTCAGATAACCTTGGGCATGATAAGAAACAATATCAGCATATGACATGACTTCATGCTCATAACTGAATAAGGGAAACTTCAAAGTTGATCTCAAGCAACTCTGATGCTGTGCCTCCAGTTACTTCTGTCAGATTGTTGGACCTTGATTTTTTCTTTTTTTTCTTTTTGGGTTGGCCTTTTTTAAAAGATAAATTGAAGTCACTTTAGCAATAGTCTAGGCCTCTTGTCTCTTTAGTCCAGGTAAAACACTGATGTACGTATTTTCCCTTTGAGCGTCTCAGTTTAAGATATACTTATGCAGTTTTTTATCTCCTGCATAAGTATATCATTTCTGCCGTAGTCTGTACCAGCTTTATGGCAGTGGTGTCACTTTGGAGTTGACCTTATTTGCAAGCTGTGATTAGTGAGACCAGGCTGGGTACACTGGACAGATTTTCAATTGTTCACAGGGCACAGCCAGGTCAAAAAACCAACAATCAAAAAAACAAAGAATAAGTGTGGACAGGCTCAATGGGCAGTTTGGAATCACATTTGAACCTAAAGGGCATCCTTTTGGATGAAGATAAGAACCAGTATATCCATAAAACACTGTGTAGTGACTGTCTTATAGCAAAGCTTATAAACAGTATATCATTTCAAACATACTTTTACATACTTTGTATGCCTTTTGTGCCTGCAGTATGGCCTGATGTATTCGATCAAAACTATTTCATCATACTGGACTGCAAGGTTTCATCCCTCACAGCATCTGGCACACAAATGTGTGTATAGCATATAAACATCAAGCCAAATATGTGACATGATCTAATGCCATAAAGAACAATTTTTTCTGGATAGTTTGTAGTAAAATAAACGTATATTTCTTAAAACTAACAGTTTAGGAAATTCACTTTTCTCCGCTACAGCTGCATTTTGAGAATCATGTATTTTTTGAAACAGAAACAAAACACACATGTCTGGTAAAAGCACATTTATATAAATACTCATTTCAGATAAAATACTTTATTTTGCTACAAACGTATGACTAATGCCTCCTAATATAATGGCTTTAAATAGTAAAGGCATTTACATGATGTGTATCAAGGGTATGATACCATCCATGACACACAGTAAATATACAGATAAAAGCATTATACATGCAAATCCACTCTTAAATGAAACATTTAATCTTCTATATTTGCTTCTAATAGTGCTTTATAAAAACTTTATAATAATATTTTCTGTTTACTTATTCATTCTTCAAGACATCACACTCTTTAATTATGCACCACAACTCAGGCTCCTGTCTTTAAATCATTT